TCTGCTGGGTCAGCTTGGTGCCTCTCAGGACCCTCCACCTCCTCTCACTTGGCTGAGGAGTATATGAAAGAAAAAACTTTGCCCTACAATAACGTTCTTGCAGATCGAAGGTGTGTCTCAAGTCCTGGAGCACCTGCTTTGCAAGTGCAAGGCTCTGAGTTCAAACCCCAGTACCACCAAAAAAAAAAAAGTTCTTGCTTTTACAAATGGATAGGATAGTGAGAAATACACTTTGGGTAACAGGATAAAACCACACCTAAAACTTGACACATGGACAGGAGGTGTGGCTCAAGGGATAGAGTGCCTGCTTTGCAAGCTTGAAATCCTGAGTTCAAAGCCCAGGCCCAGAAAAACACAGGAACAAAAACTTGACACATTGTGGATTTTTGTTTGTTTTTTATTTTCACTGGAGTTTGAACTCAGGGCTTTGCTAGGCAGGGACTCTGATCACTTGAGCCACACCCCCAACCTTTTTACTTTATTTTTTAGGTAGAGTCTCCAAGTATTTGCTTGATGCCTCAGGAATACCATCACACCTGTCTTGTTGGTTGAGATGGGTTCTCACTAAGTTTTTGCCTGGGCTGGCTTCAAACAGCCATCCTCCCAATCTTTGCCTTCCAAGCAGTTGGGATTACAGGTGTGGACCGCTGAGACCAGCCCAGATTGTGCATTTTTATTATTTTTATTTTTTGGTGGTACTAGGGTTTGAACTCAGGACTTCATGCTTGCTAGACAGGTGCTCTACAGCTAGAGCCACACCTGTAGCCCTTATTGGTTTTTTTTTGTTTTGTTTTTTTGGTACTGGGACTTGAACTCAGGGCCTTCACCTTGAGCCACTCCACCAGCCCTTTTTTGTGATGGGTATTTTCAAGATAGGGTCTCGCAGGCTGGCTTCGAACCTCGATCCTCCTGATCTCTGCCTCCTGAGTAGCAGGGATTACAGGCGTGAGCCACCACGCCTGGCTCTCATTATGAATTTTTTAAAAGCCCCTCTCTCCCTTTCATTTTTTTCCTTCCACTTGTTCCAGGACTGGCTTTTAAGTCAAAGATTCCCAAATGACAAGCTGCATCTAAGTCTGCAAAGAACTTAACCTGAGAATCACCCAGTCTTGTAGAGCCTCACTCAGAAGAGAGCCACAGTCTTCTGAAGAGCACTTGTGTGGGGGGCAGGGCGGGGCAGGGGGTGTTGCTGGGACTCATGGAAGCCAGGGACATGCAAGGCAACTGCTCTGCCATTGATCTACATCCCAGCCCCACCTTTCTTTTTACCATTGTATTAAGCTCTTTTAGCTGTTTTGGTTTTTTTCATTTGTTTTGGGATACCTTCCTTTACATCTCTATTCAATATCCTCACCACATGATCATTTCAATTTTGAGACGTTTTATATATGACCTTCCTGCTATGGAGTGGAGGATTCAGCTCATTTATAGCACCACCACCTTGTTTAGTTTCTTTATTGGTTAACTATGCTTTTTATTAAGTATTTCGCTTTTATTTCTTGCCCTGTCGGCTGTAGTGAGCAATAACAGTCAATTCTCAAGCACTTCATACAGTCATTTAAGCTACACAATGTCAAGAGATAAACTACTCTTATTAGCCTCATCTTAGGGAAAAGTAAGTAAGGCTATTTTACTATAATTTCAGTGGTTCTCCAGAAGGGGAGGAGATAAATTTGTGTGGTCAGTCTGCCATCTTGACACTAAGTAAACAAGTCAAGGATAGGCAACGTTAGTTCTGGCCTTGGCTCTACAATTCCCTGCTGGACAATTGTAACACTAACAAGTAAGAAGTATGGTCTCTCATTTTGGCTAGCCCTGGCCAGTTAGCTCAGCTGCAGGTCAGGGATTCTCAAATGTTTTGAACAAGTTGAATTGGAACCACCTAAGGAGTTTGTCAAGTGAACATATACCTGCTAAAACTGGATGTTTGGAATTTGGGCCCAGGGATCTGTATTTTTAATAAGCATGCATCACAATTTGGAAACCAGTGGGTCACAGATGGGCCTGGCCTCTGACCTTGTATTTCCTGTTCCATCTTTAGCATTCCTGCCCCACCCAAGACTACGCCATGCAAACTGTGGCACTTACTGAGGCTTATGCAGTAGACCTTCCAGCTCGGCAGGATCAACACTCAGTATCAAATCAAGGTGCAGAGGCCACTAGAGGCCAGTGCTAAAGCTCGATGTATGTGATGCTCTCGGCCTTTGGCCAAACACCCTAATCATAGCTAGTCTCATTTGACCTATGAGTAAGTCAAGGCCCAAAGAGACCTGAGTTGCACACAGAACAGTGCTGTGGACCACACCAACAGCAGAGCCCTGAGCTCCTACAACTCTGCTCCCCACACCCGAATCTCTTTCTAGAATTGTACTAACCGGCGGCCACTAGCCTATGTGTGGCCATTTACTTTTAAATACATTTAAGTCTCACTAGCCACCACTGAAGTGATCAACAGCCACAAGTGGTGAGTGGCTGCCAGCCTGGTAGACGTTGCAGCTATAGAATATGACCATCCTTGTGGAAAACTCTATTGGCCTAGATCTGTGGGGCCATTCCTTTGAAGGAAGTGCGGACACTGGATGTTTTATCAGCAATGACTGTGGATTAAATGTAAGAGACTATGGTTGTGTTGTTCACTTATAACAACTTAGTATTTTGACAAACTAGAATTTTATAAATGTAACTGGGAGAACAAAACTACCCAAACCAACTAAGCCACCAAAGCCTCTCCCTCTAGACCAAGATGGGCTAGAAGCCTTGTCCAAGAGGCCAAACAGGGCATTGGTGGCTCATGCCTGTAACTCTAGCTACTTGGGAGACTGAGAACCGGGAGGATTGTATTCGAAGCCAACTCAGCAAATAGTTGGCAGGATCCCATCTCCAAAATAACCAGAGCAAAATGGACTGGAGGTGTGGCTCAAGAAGTTGAGTACCTGCTTTGCAAGTATGAAGCCCTCAGTTCAAACTCCAGTGCCACCAAAAAAAGAAAGAAAGAAACCAAATCAAGTGCAAACAAGAGCCCAAAAGCTTCAGCTGGTTGAAAGTCAAAAAGTTACAGGGGCCTACTTATTCCTGGAAGGTCTTCTACTGTAGAAGAGGACTTTAGAAGAAGATTGCTATGCATAATACATGCCAAGTATTAACTATAAGGGTGATGAATGGGTAGAAATAGTTTCTCTTTGTAGATTTATACTGCACTATCAAAGACATATGCCTGTTAGAAGGTGTGTTGGATTAAATAGCTAAGGAAACACTGAAATGTAAGAGATGTATAATTCTGGAAGGGAGACCTTAAAAGTGACCAGACTTAGAGTGTCCTTGCCTACTCTGAACAGACTTGGGTGGCCATACTACTGAGAGAGGGTTAGAGGTGAAGCAGAGGCTTTGGAGAGGCAAGCATCTAGAAGACTGAGATTGGTGGTAAGAACCATGCTTTCATCTCGAAAGGACCCCTGCACAGGGCTTGGCTCCTACTTTGGCTTTCCCCATGGGTAGTAGTCTTATGACTCTACAGATAGGTTCATATTTTCCGTTCAAATTCCCTAAAGGTCCTCCAGCCCTTCAAAAAAGTCTAGATACGCCCATCCAAACCCATCCAGCAGTGTTTTGAGGACTATGGGATAGGCAGTAAGAGGAAATGAGGGAGTGTGGCCTGCCCCCCCTGTTGAGGGAGGGAGCAACCATGTGTCCAGGAGCTCCAGATGGTAAGCAGACAGAAGAGCCCAAATCAGATGCAGGTGGGGAAGGGGAGATGACTCACAGATACTACAGAGGAAAGCCACACTGGAGGACAGTAAAGGGCGGTAGAAGGGTGGGACTGATGCTATCAAATAGGTGAGCTCATGTACACACAAATTACTGTCACACAATCATGGTGGCCTGAAACAAATAGATTTGGACAAGATTTATTGATCAGATTGTTTTTAGAAAACCAACAGCAAAACACTGACAAGGTACATAAATACAGATTGGACATTTCAGGGTAAATTCACTACACTTCCTACTTGCTCGTAGGAAACTGGGGGGAGGTGGAAAAGCTGTCCTGATCATATGGCATGCACACCAGACTGCAAAAGGACTTCCACACTATTTAACAGGACTGTGGCAAATAGCTTTAAAGTAAGGCAAGCATTGTGTATGGCCCCAGCATTCTCTGTAGGAGAAGCAAAGCCTACCCCACCCCTCAGAGACTGCATTCTAGAGACAGGCTTCCCTTTCTTGCCCGATTCTTCCAGTGACAGTCACTGAAGGTGCCTTCACAGGGAGATGCCTGCATTCTGCCTGTGCAGACTCTGTACAGGAAGGGGCTTTACAGAGAGTCAGTGTGCTTTCTGCTGCTTCCTTTGTGTTCCCCATGTGTAACTAGCAATATAGCAATTACTACTGCTTGGTGAAATTGGCCTTGTCTCTGAAAACTGCCTCTGACTCACCCTGTACATAGACTAAGTAGGGCCTTTAACGAACTTCTCAAAAGTTTAAAAAAATTGAAAACATGAAATTACACCAAAAAGATGGCACCACTTTTGAAGCACGACTTATAACTTCTGCTTATAACACAAGACAAGGGAAGAGGTGGCTTTCTGCCATATTTCACAACCTTAGAAGGAAATGCCACTGCCGGCATGATCTGGTAGCCATGTGAGTCTCATGGCGCCTACCTCAGACCCTGCCAATGCTCCCAGAGTTCCAAGGCATTTGGGGAATCAAAGCAATTTACACTAATGGTGACCACTTACTGGAACTTATGGTCATAAACCCACAAACCCTCATCCACCCTGGAGCTCAATGCCAGAAAAATGAAAAAAAAAATTAAAATGGCTTTTTGTGCTACATCAGAATGCTGGCAGGTAGATAATTCAGTAACCTGTGCCACTTTCTAAATATCTGTTAGACCACATAAAACAAACTGCTTTTACAGGATATGAAGACCAACATAGAAAGTATAATCCAAACTTTGTTCCATGCCAAGCTATAGGACTGGAGAAAATACCTCCAAAGAAAGAAAAAAAAAAAAAAAAGCAAAGATGGATCAAAAGTCAATGAAATGTGTTCAAATGATGGGATTTCCTGTGTCTGTCATATACAGCTTTCTCTTCCCACAGGTGCTGAGTTCTTTGGGGGTTCAGGACAGACAGTCCAGAACTTGGGCAGGAGATCATGCTGATAACTGAGGGTTATCACCTGTGCTTCATTTGTGCACTCAATAGTAATCAGTTGTCCTACACAGCTCAGCTCAGTTCATTGGGCTGCTTATGTGTTGGCTGGTTGCTAGCCCCTCTGTAAGCCTTTTCTTTTTCGAATTATTCATCTCATCGAAAAGGAGGTGTTTGTGGGAAAGGGACAAGGAGGGAAAAGAAATATAAATGAATCAATTCTTCAGTTGAAACACTGATTATCTATGGATTTCAATTATCTGTGCTTTACTGTTGCTACTCTGGGTACCAAAGGTCACTGTCAACATACCTTTTGCTTAGAAATGTTAATATGCTTATAATTGCACTATTAAATCTAGCTATGTAGTGGACATGAATGGTGTAGAGTAAAATTTTAATCAAGTCATTGGATCCTGAAGAAAGAAGATTCTGCCAGTGAAAGAGAGTTTTGTTTAGTCCTCAAAGAATACTTAAAATGTCAATCAATTCTATATTGACATGTAGTTTTTTCCATGGTGTGGAATATGCTTTATTAAATGAAGAAAGCATCATTTTTGTCATTTACTAAAGTAGTACATTACCAGATAAATTACTGTATAGATGGGAAAACTGGTATTACTAAATATTAGGTTTTAATTCTCCATTTAGGAACCACCTTGCAAGTGGACTTCCTTGTTCCTGGATAAGACATGCAAACATGACAGCACAGAAATGACTGGGACAATATCTCAATTCTAACAAATCCAAGAACAAGAATTTCTATGAACTGGGGTAGGAAAACAAGGACTTCAAAATCCAGCTTTATCAAGAGTCAGCTTATGATTACATCAAAAATTCTTGGTATAATTTTACTCTAGTGAACTGACTTCCCCAAGACAGATTAAAAAAAGTAGTGTAGCTGCTTTATAGTGTAGCTGCTTTATAGTCACACCCTCTACATAATCTGTATATATCCATGTGTGTTTCTCTATATTGCACTTAGTTTCCCAGGACTGCAGGAAGACAGCTGGGAGTACCTCAAACCTGGCCCAAATCAGGTAACAGTGTTGGGAATTCACTGACTATAGATACATTAAATGCCTTGTGACCCGTACATAGAGCCCAGTCATCTTCATTTAAGTCTTCATACCTACAGTTTCAATTTGGTATTCAGAACGCGTGCAGATGTGCACTCAGAGCTGGCCATACTAGACAACTATACTTTTAAAACACACAGGTCTTTGCTGTCAGGTTTCCAACATCTATCTCAAAGAAGACTGCCCTCAGAAGGCTTAAAAAGGATTATCAGCAAGTGTGGCTTGAATAAGACCCCTTTCTCCAACTTTCTGGTGTAGCAGAACCAGAGGCTTGCTTATATCCCGAAGACCATGGAAGTCTAAAGCATTCAGTCTCTGATCCCTGTATAAACCAGTGACAAAAAATCCATTTGCTCCCCTAGAAAGCATGACTTGTTTACTTTGGGATACAATTCTACCACATGTGAGAGATGAGGCTAGAGTCACACAGCAAAGTTCCATTCTGAGCTAAGGGAGCTGCTCAGACTGACTTGCTCTAGAGAGACCCCTTCTGGGAAGCAAGCCTGGCAGGGGGTAGTGAGAGGTTGAATGTGGCCTGGGGACTGGAAATGGCAAGACATGGGGGATGCTCCTTTTCTTGCCTCTCCCTCACACTCCTCATTCCCCAGATGAGGGCTTATCACAAGACTGCAGAATACAGGCTGCATTAACTAAATCCAACACAGATGGGCTATCATAAGGCCTAGAGATTAGGAGTACGAATTCTAGAGGCCATGGTTTCTTTTTCCCCAGAACTGAACACGATAGTAACTTTAGCCATAACTCAAAAGTGATTTTAAATCCACAATAAGCTAAAGCAATCCCTTCTGGGGTAAAAGAAAAAGAAGAATACTTTAAAAGCTAGGTGGAAAAGAGGCACTTAAAGAACAAATGTGTCCCAAATCTTGCCGTGAGTCTCCTGTTGTTAGGGGACTGTGGGAGGGCCAGCTCTGTCCCCTCCTGCATGCCCTCAGCACCTTGAGTCACCAGGGGACACCCAAATGCTCACGGCAAGTGACACACTCAACTCCTCAAGCAGCCTAAGGGCAAAGCAGCTGAAAACTTCAGTCATTTTTCTTTTTAGAATTACCAAAGCAAACCAAGTCAACTAAAACCTCACAGCAAAAAAGCAAAGGTACTTGGTTTCATTCTTTCCTTATGCCAGTCTTGAAATGATACTTGATTCTTCAGGAAGGATGATCTGTGGCTTTTCCCTAAAGATCTTTTATCCAAATATTAGATAATTTCAGCACCATGCACGTTAAAGCAGAAAAGGAGGCAACAAGTTAAGGGGAGAATCGAGGACCAGTTGCCTAAGAAAATGGGACTTGATTCGGGATTAGAAGAGAAACAAGTTCTGACAGCAAAACCCACTGGCCCAGCCAGAGCCCAGTCCCCATATTTCAAGAGGGCAGACTCTCTGCACTGCTCTCCTGTCCCATGGCATTGACACCACATACTTAGGATCTATGATTCCCCATGAAGTCAGAGAGATATTTAAGTCCATTCATAAGCATAGAAGAATCTCAAAACTTCCCTGAAGGACTTTGATTTGACAATATTATTTCTCAATCGGAAACACTTATGGTGCCATAATTTCTAAGAGCAAGAACAAAGAGCATGCCCATGAACAAACATTAAGTTTTCTGACAAGCCAACTCTCACCACTGCTGGCACATTAAAAATGAGAAAAAAAATCACTAACCAGGAGTTGCCAACCTGCCTAACTTTCCTCCAAAGCCAAAGGGTAGGGTTAGGTCTCTCAACAGCAAGAGATGTCAACTACTGCTGTCATTACATCCAACTACTCACTTGGACACACCTTGGAAACACCAATTTAATATCCAGGTTTATGCATGACCTGCGGGATTCTTAAGGTTAGCCTGTTCTCTTTCTGTCCCCCAAACTACTATTGTTGCTGTTGCTGGATTTTTAAATTTTATTTACTTTTGATGATGATGCTTTAATTTGTAGTGCATTGACTGATGTGTTCAATATGTTCAGAATTCTTTTTGAAAAACTTCTTTGCCTTATCTTGTTTCCTAACATTATTAAGGTACTTTCAGACTTTTCCCTCAAGTCCACCAAGAAAGAGGGAATACATTAGTGTATGAATGTGTGTTGGGGCAGGAGGGAGAGAAGCAAAGAACAAAAGCACATGGGAAAGTGAGATGTCCATAAACTTAAAAACCAATTTACAGAAAGGCATCTGATGTATTTTCTGAATAAGGCCTTGATCAGGGTAACCAATCCTCTTTGTAGCACATTCTACACTGCCCATAAATAAAGGAGTCTCTTTAAATTAACAGTTCCAGTATCAATGAACAGTCCAGAAATCCTCATTTCAAGCGCTCGATGAGTCCCTGTGTTAGTCCAAGGTGCAGAAGCTGTGTTCGGGAGAGGTTTGCCAAGTTGGGGAAGGCCGTGAGCAGCTTCTCCCATGCCAGTTCCAGCAGGCTAGGTACCACCAGCCAGATCTTAAACAATGACCCAGTCCGTTTGTTTTCATGGATGTTCACCACTCCTCCATGAATGTACATGCAACCAGCCTATGAACAGATGGTAATTAAAAGAGGACAAGTTAAATTCAAGAGAAATAGATACCAAGGTGAGGACTCAGCATAGTAAATTGACTCGAGATGAAACAAAGAATTTCTTGGGCTGTGGGTGTGACTCAGTGGTAGACCACTTGACTAGCATGTACATCAAAGGATCTAGGTTCAATCCTCAGCACCAAAAAAAAAAAAAAAAAAAAGAATTTCTCACTGATCCCAACATATATGTAGAAATTGAGATAGGCTTAAATAATGAATGGGACAATTCACTTAACTGGAAAAAAACAAGAGTTTTCCGTTTATTTTTTTGAGACAGGGTTTCACTATATTGCCTAGGTTGGTCTCAAACTCCTGAATGCAAGTCATCCTTCCACCTCAGCCTCCCAAATGCTGGAATTATAGACATATACCACCATGCCCAGTCCTATAGTGCTTTTGTTTGTTTTACTTCAAATACAAACAGCTTCACTTTTTGCTAACATTAGATTTAGACTACAATAAGTATCTAAAGTGCCAAGTGCTAGGACTGCAAAGATGAAAATAAAAGTCTTTGTAGTGGTATCTTTAATAATAAGATATTAGAGGGCAAAACTATTCTGCTGTCCCAGGAAACATGTTTGAATTCACTGTCAAGGCCTAAAATGCCACATGCAGTGTTTCTTCTATGTTATTTTGTTCTTTTAAATTTGGATATTTTTCTCCCATTTTCTCAGAGGAAGAGCTGGCTTCAAAAGGAAGTTTTAAAAACACATTTTTAACCTAAGGTTTACCAATATCAGCATCTTTTTCTTGACATATATCTAAAAGGTTTCCTTATCTTCAACTACGTCAAGAAGATATGAAAATAACCACTTACTGGTGTAACAGCCGCACAGTGGAAATAAACTGGCTCCGGCATGGTAGCAGGGAGTTTAACCCACTGGAAAGTCTGCAAATTCAACTTCCAGATATCTCCTAGGATCACTTCTCCATTGTAGCCCCCACAAATAAATACATCTATCAAGGAAAGAGAAAGCCAAGATCATATAGAGGAACCAAGCAGAGACTATATAGCATGTTTTGCAGAGGGTCACACGGCAGTTTGTGGATTGTCAATTAAGTGGATTGTCCCATAACAGGACTTTAGCCATGTGGTATTTCATATTGATGCTTTGTCCCTTAATGGAACTGGGACACTTTATTGGGCCTAAGGTGTGAACCTCTAAGGGGGCTTCATGTCACAGTTCTCAATTCAAATACCTCTGGGTTCTAGTCCCAGAACCTGGAAGTCTAGGAAAAAAAAAAAAAGAGGACTGGGCATGCTCCAACAGAGGGGACGGCTGTGTAGCTCCAGTAACTGACAGCATGGAGGGATTCAGGGCAGCCACTGCTGGATCTTACCATTTTTCAAGAGAAGCTGAAAATCTGGGTTTGTTGTTGTTGTTTGTTTGTTTTTTAATGAAACATTTTGCTTTTAAGTATTGGCCACTAATTTTTTTTTTAAAAAAATCAACAAACATAGGATCCAAACAAACACATCTACAGACCACCAGTTTGCAAACTCTTCCTTAAAGATCTTCTAAGATCCTAGAAAAAATATACATTTATCTGTTTAGAAACAAATGTCTTCCAGGTGACAGTTAACCTGAGGAGAAACATTAGCTGCGTGTGTCGTTTATGGGCATAAAAGAGGTTTTTCTAGCTTTCTTCATCAGAAAGGAAACATTCTGAAGCTCTATCTGACTTGTATATCTCTTTGTCAGGAATACAATTTTCCCAAAGGGAAAGGTGGATGTTGCTTTTGTTTTCACAAAATCAGTTAGTTGAAACTAATTAATCAACTTGTAACAAAGGCTATGTGAATCTTCAAACTAAATGCCCAGAACTAAGGCTGAATTTGTATGGTGATTATCCTCAAAAAAGCAAATGAATATATGTTTTAATTGAGGTGTAGATCAAGTTTAAGCCAATATTTAGTTAAGCTATAAAATACACTAGAAACTTTTTTGGCTAGGAATCAAGGAAAACTTTAAACCACAGCTCCATTCTCAGACAAGGGAAGCAAAGCTCAACAATGCCACTATCTATAAATCTTATCCAAAAAGCAGAAGCACAATAAAAAGCCCCTCTGTACTAGAGACAGCAGAATAATGCCAGTTAAATCTGAATTAGGCTGTCGAAAGGATGCAAGCTATCAAACTCACTTATATACCTCTCCCTCCCAGAAAAAACATCAAGAGATATATCAAACTGTAAAATAATCTGCAAATTAAGACAGGAAGATTATCCAAAGAAGAGTCATTTACCCCTCTTTGATAAAGTATCCACTGCTGCTTTCTAAAGCTATATAATGCTTTCGTTGTAATATGGGACCAAAGAATGAGCTGAATTTTATTTGACATCAGACAGAGAACAGAATAAATATGAAATAACATTCTGAAGGAGTTATTACAATTGTAATACAATGTCCACTGAGGTCTTATTGTATAAGCAGTCACTATTATTAGTGTTACAAACCATAACCACAGACATCTACTGAGGTTGAGTGCTGAAAGATCAGGTAGTACAATAAAAGTTTATTTATCACCAATTTTTGAGCTCTCTTATAACTGAGGGAACCCAGACACTATACTAGTTTACATTATGAAAACTGCTAAGGGAGGCATAACTCTTTAGATTTCTCTTTCAGTTTAAACTACAAGAAATAGATGCTTCCCAAAGTAATTGGAGCTGTCATTAGGAAATCAGTCACTCTCAGCAGACACAATTACGAATGGAATCAAAATGTCATTAAAAATCCTTACCATTTTTTATTTGAACACAACTGTGACATCTTCGGGCTGCAGGAAAACCTACCAAACACATAAACACAGAAATCCCATTATTTACAGGAAGACAAGGAATGACATTGACGTGACATAAAGAAACATACCATGAGCAACTCAAAACAATCCCTTTAATAAGCATCATTTAATAAACACTGACTAGTTCTTCCAATTCTTGCTTATTCTGAAAGTCACTGGAAGTCATCTCATCACAGCAACACAAGCTAAGAGGCCAGGGAAGCAAAATAGGGTAGGGGGACACAAAGTGGCTTTCCCAAGCGTTTGACCCCCAAAGAGATGGGTAGATTTTTATTTAAACTCCTGTTTTTTATCCTGCCCATATTTTACCTCTTGTGTCACAGAATTCAGTAGTCCCTTTTAAAATTCTCTTTGCTCAGGTAGCAGGATATAAAATCAACATAGAAAAATCATTAGCATTTCTATACACTAACAATGAGCAAACGGAAAAAGAATGTATGAAAACAATTCCATTTACAATAGCCTCAAAAAAAATCAAATACCTAGGGGTAAACCTAACAAAAGATGTGAAAGACCTCTACAAGGAAAACTATACATTTCTGAAGAAAGAGACTGAAGAAGACTATAGAAAGTGGAGAGATCTCCCATGCTCATGGATTGGTAGAATCAACATAGTAAAAATATCTATACTCCCAAAAGTAATCTACATGTTTAATGCAATTCCCATCAAAATTCCAATGACATTCATTAAAGAGATTGAAAAATCTACTGTTAAATTTATATGGAAACACAAGAGGCCACGAATAGCCAAGGCAATACTCAGTCAAAAGAACAATGCAGGAGGTATCACAATACCTGACTTCAAACTATATTACAAAGCAATAACAATAAAAACAGCATGGTACTGGCACAAAAACAGACATGAAGACCAGTGGAACAGAATAGAGGACCCAGATATGAAGCCACACAACTATAACCAACTTGTCTTTGACAAAGGAGCTAAAAATATACGATGGAGAAATAGCAGCCTCTTCAACAAAAACTGCTGGGAAAACTGGTTAGCAGTCTGCAAAAAACTGAAACTAGATCCATGTATATCACCCTATACCAAGATTAACTCAAAATGGATCAAGGATCTTAATATCAGACCCCAAACTCTTAAGTTGATACAAGAAAGAGTAGGAAATACTCTGGAGTTAGTAGGTATAGGTAAGAACTTTCTCAATGAAACCCCAGCAGCACAGCAACTAAGAGATAGCATAGATAAATGGGACCTCATAAACTAAAAAGCTTCTGTGCATCAAAAGAAATGGTCTCTAAACTGAAGAGAACACCCACAGAGTGGGAGAAAATATTTGCCAACTATACATCAGACAAAGGACTGATAACCAGAATATATAGGGAACTTAAAAAACTAAATTCTCCCAAAACTAATGAACCAATAAAGAAATGGGCAAGTGAACTAAACAGAACTTTCTCAAAAGAAGAAATTCAAATGGCCCCAAAAACACATGAAAAAATGCTCACCATCTCTAGCAACAAAGGAAATGCAAATTAAAACCACACTAAGATTCCACCTCACCCCTGTTAGAATAGCCATCATCAGCAACACCACCAACAACAGGTGTTGGCGAGGATGTGGGGAAAAAGGAACCCTCTTACACTGTTGGTGGGAATGTAGACTAGTACAACCACTCTGGAAAAAAATTTGGAGGCTACTTAAAAAGCTGGACATCGATCTACCATTTGATCCAGCAATACCACTCTTGGGGATATACCCAAAATAATGTGACACAGGTTACCCCAGAGCACCTGCACACCCATGTTTATTGCAGCACTATTCACAATAGCCAAGTTATGGAAACAGCCAAGATGCCCCACCACTGAAGAATGGATTAAGAAAATGTGGTATCTATACACGATGGAATTTTATGCAGCCATGAAGAACGAAATGTTATCATTCGCTGGTAAATGGATGGAATTGGAGAACATCATTCTGAGTGAGGTTAGCCTGGCCCAAAAGACCAAAAATCGTATGTTCTCCCTCATATGCGGACATTAGATCAAGGGCAAACACAACAATGGGATTAGACTATGAGCACATGATAAAAGCAAGAGCACACAAGGGAGGGGTGAGGATAGGTAAGACACCTAAAGAATTAGCTAAAATTTGTTGCCCTTAACGCAGAGAAACTAAAGCAGATACCTTAAAAGCAACTGAGGCCAATAGGAAAAGGGGAACAGGTACTAGAGAAAAGGTTAGATCAAAAAGAATTAACCTAGAAGGTAACACCCACGCACAGGAAATCAATGTGAGTCAATGCCCTGTATAGCTATCCTTATCTCAACCAGCAAAAACCCTTGTTCCTTCCTGTTATTGCTTATACTCTCTCTACAACAAAATTAGAATAAGGGCAAAATAGTTTCTGCTGGGTATTGAGGGGGTGGGGGCAAGGGGGAGAAATGAACCAAGCCTTGTATGCACATATGAATAATAAAAGAAAAAGAAAAAATAAATTTAAAAAAAATCTCTTTGCTCACTTGCTAAGGAAGAGTAATAACTGAGGTAAGGAACACAGTAATTTCTAATGCCACATACTCAAGAAAATTACTCTTTCCTTCATCAAACAAGTAGAAATATGAAATACATTTGCTAAAGACAAATGAATCGTATTTTAAACTTACCTATTTTCTCATGAGGTTTTGTTGCAATTTCCTCCCATGCATTTGTTTCAAGGTTGTATGCGTGGATCTTGAAGACAGAAAAGAACATACAAACAGATAAAGAACTGTAATCTTAGCTAGACTGAGAATGGATTTTTAAAAACAGACTTTAGTTTTTAGAGAAGTTTCAGGAAAATTGAAACAGTAGAAAACTGGACTTTTAACAACACAGCCTGCATAAACATATTTTTGGTTGAAAACGCTTCTTTTCCTTTGCTTTTCTCTGATAACATTTGTAAGGCAAATGTTAAATGAGGCAGTTGAAAATTAAGCACATATATGATATTCATTTTCAAAATTCACAGAAAAAAATTGGGAAAAGAGTTGGAAAGAGAAGCAAAGGTGCATGATTACTGATTTTCTTCTGTGTGCTATTCCAAAACTTCCACATTTTCTACAGTGAATTGTTTCATTTTTATAACAACAAAAAAGCAAGTGTTGCTAGTAAGGAAAAAGGGAAATGCAATTTTGACAAATTTGAGAAGATCATTAAGGTTCCAAGGCAGACCAGGAAGTTTACAGCCTGGGATTTCCCTGGGGATTAGTAATCATGACATTTTAGAAATGCCACAGGAATGGATGAATAAAAGCCTTTCAGAGCTTGGCTTTCTAAAGTTAAGGATGTGCAGTCCTAAACACACCTATTCTTTTTAGATACACAGCACTGACAACGAGAGGGATGTGACATGCTGAAAATCCTGGTTCTGTTGCTCCATTCAAGCTACTGCACCTTCCTTCTAGTCAACTTTCTTCATCCAGCATAAGGGATAATTTTCATAAAATATTTTCAGCATATGATAAATGTACCTGTCAACTAGAAAGCCTATTGGGAGCACAGAGTTCAACTTTCTAGCATAAAAGACATCTACTGTAAAACAGGTGTTGCTGAAGAGGCTGCTCAAAACTTCAAAAACGTAAAGTAACAGAATTATCCTGCTTAGTATGATATATGCCTCTGTCTATCCTCCTTCTCTCTTCTAAAAAACAGTATACCTTGTTTAAGGAATAAGCTGTCCAAGAGGTACCACCTCCCAAGATGTAAATCCTCTGCCCATCATGAGCGATTTCATGTCTGTATCTGAAAATATACAATAAAATGTTTATAATTGAGAAATAAGCTACCAAAGATTTACCTGTAAGATTTTTTATTGAATCATGATAAATTATTAGAAATAACTTCAGTACTTAACAACAGTGAATTGGTTAAATGAATTTATATAAAATGGACTTGTACACAATCAATATAATGCAGGCCTAGCTGGGGGCATGGCTCAAGTGGTAGAGCAGCCCTGAGTTCAGCACAGTACCGCCAAAACACCAAGAAAACAGAAAAGAAAAAGGAATGCAGACACAGAGGATGGTTAATATATTAAGAACTTCTTTTCATAACATTAACAAAAAAATCTATTATACACGAGCAGAAAGGCTATAACTTCATTTAGAGCTTAAAAGATACACAAATATGCACAGCAAATGACTATACGGACATAATCTAAAATGTTAATCCTGGTTATCTCTGTTTAGATTTTGCTCTTTCTTCATTTTGCTTATTTGGATTTTCTAGATTTCCTATAATCTTTTTGTGATATCTTTGTATAAGGGGAGAAATTATTACAGAGCTTCAAAAAATTATCTATTCATAATTAGAGACCTGAGACAATGAGTTTTCAAATTATGTTACTTATTTGTCGGAAAATTATGCTACATAGAACTGTGAATATATTATGAAACACCTACCAGAACTTTTATCCAGGCAATCTAGCTAGACTGAAACAATTTCTTTTTTGAGATAGGTCTCGCTATGTGGCCCAGGATCCTTCTGCCTCAGCCTCCTGGCTGAAAAAATTTATATGTTCATAAAATGATTCAAAGAAGGCAACTATGTGAAAATGCTTTGAAAACTTAATTTATTTCCTTCTTTCCATGAAGGCCCTAGTGCTGATAAAATTAGTTATATAAAAATCATTCCAGTAATAGACCAAGTGCTCTCGCAGCAGTTCTGCAATAAGCAGCCCACTAACTTATAATAAAGTACAGGTACTTATACTATAGTACAAGTACTTCCCCAGCCCTTCTAATCATTTTGCTTAAACCCAATAAAGTGACATTGGATTAGTCTAAACAGAGTGAATAAAAAAATTATTTACTGTCTGCTTTTAAACAGAAGAGGAAATAATTTCAAGTTTTTCAGTAAGTTTAATTCTGAGAAGAGGCAACTATTATTAGGAAAGAAAAAGTGAAAGATCTAGGACTGTAGAAGACAGGGAGAATTGTATGATATTGCAGTGTTTAACAGAGGACTTAATATGAATAACCTTTCTATCAGCCCATCCATCCATCCACCCCTCCATCATCCATCTTTCCATCCATCCTTCCTTCCATCCAATAACCACACACTGATCTCCAATATGGACTTTAGCTACCATTGGTTTCTTCTTACAAGTGTTACTAATTTCCTACTATAGCAAGACTAAAAAATACAAGGGGATTGGACTGGAAGTGTGGCTCAAGTAGTAGAATGCCTGCTCTGCAAGCACAAAGCCTTCAGTTTGAACCCAAGTAATAAAAAAAAGCAAGGAAATAACATGCAAAAACTTCTATAGTTCAGAGAAAAATACCACCTTCTCAGCAGTAGACATTTCCTTATCACTGACCTGGGATCTAACTATCAGCTAGCTCTTTGGTTTTCTTCATGTTATCAATATTGTGAAAGAGGTCAAATCTCAGTAAGAAAGACTTAATATGTTTTAATCCAATCACCTCACCTCTCTTCTGGTAGGTCACAGGACAGGTTGTTTGGTTTCAGCTGTGTCCATTCTCTGGTGTTGAGATCTAACTTGTGCAGGTCTGTACTATAAATGTAGCCAGTTGTCCCCCCAAACACATAAAGGGAGCCATTGATGATGGCCATAGCCTGGATAAGGTGAACAAGAATGACCAGTTAACACTTGATTAAAGAATATAAATTTATTAGATGTTCCCAAATCAGACTTAGTAAAATTCTCTTGCTCTTTTAACCCTTTAAAGCATCAGACTTTGAGCCAAGCACGGTGTTGTACAATCCCAACACTCGGGAGGCTGAGGCAGGAGGATTGTCAATTCAAGGCTAGCCTGGGTTACATAATGAGATTTTGTCACAAGCAAGCAAGCAAAAAATAAAATATATAAAATAAATTATCAGACCCTCAGGTGTGCTAACACACACCTGTAATCCCAATGACTCAGGAGCCCTGAAGTAGAAGGACGCTCAAGCCTAAGAGGCCAAGGCCAACCTTCCAACAGTGAGACTTGTCTCAAAATCAATAAATTCAATACAATATCAGGACTTTAAAGGACTAAAAATTAATTGGAATTATTTTTAGAACTTGGAGATTACCTTTAGAAAGGCAAAACTTGTAAATTTTACCTGGAACGACATGGGTTAAATGGGTCTTGGAGGCCCAGCTAAGAATGTCTAGATCATGGGCATAAACAATGCACTGAAATTTGCTTCTTTTCCTCAGCAGTCTGAAGAAAAACAATCCTAAAAAGCAGCAGCAGGGTGGGCGCCGGTGCCTCACGCCTGTAATCCTAGCTACGCAGGAGACAGAGATCAGGAGGATTGTGGTCCAAAGTCAACCCAGGCAAATAGTTCTCAAGACCTTATCTTGAAAAAAACCCTTCACAAAAAATAAGGGCTGGTGGAGTGACTCAAGGTGTAGGCCCTGAGTTCAAGCCCCAGTATCACAAAAAAAGGGAAAAAAAAGGCCTTGAGACAGCAGGCGGGTTTCCAGAGGACTTCTGGGAAGTCCAAGGTACAATGCCACAACTTTATGGTGTTAAGAACCAAGTAAATCTCTTCCCTAGTGGTGGGATAAATTAGGCTCAATCAGAGTATCATTAAAAGAAAAAAAAAATCTGCCAGGCACTGGTGGCTCTTGCCTGTAATCCTAGCTACTCAGGAGGCAGAGATCAGGGGGCTCGTGGTTCAAAGCCAGTCTGGGCAAATAGTTCTAGAGACCCTATCTCGAAAAACCTAACACACAAAAAAAAGGGCTGGTGGAGTGGCTCACAGTGTAGGCCCTGAGTTCAAGCTCCAGTACCGAAAAAAAGAAAAGAAAAAACCAGCAGCAGATAGGAAAATAAGCCACCAGAATTCTGTCCAGAGCTTACAGTTCCAGGGACTTAATATTTTCCATAAGACTCTTCTTCAATGTAAACTCAGCTACTGTCATGGTCACATCTTAAGAGTTTAAGTGCCTCCTGTGGTGGGATATAGAGGTTTAGGACGTAACCTTTTCAAAGTTAAACCTAGAAGTACTTATCAGAAGTCAGAGCTTGGATATTTTAAGTTTAGCTGTTACTCTCAACAGTGTCTAATATTTGGTGGGTAGCTCCCTGTCTTTCTGGATATAACTTTACAAACTTTAAATTGAAGCAAAAGTAATCTCCATATATAATCTCTAGTAATGTTTTAGTTCAGATTCATGCAAAAGTCTCTTAACCAAGTGCTTAGTAGAGAAAGCTCTCCATAGAATCCTATCACTGGAAGAGGTCCTCAGTTCAATCCCAGAACCAAAAAAGAAAAGAAAAAAAAATCCTATCACTGAAAAAATGACAGGTTTGTAGCCAAACAAGAGACTACTCTCTCACTAAGGGTGGGGGTATAGGTTGAGGTTCTAACATTTAAAGCAACTTCCAAACAGGTCTAGATCATGACCCTAAATTGGTTGGGAACAAAGAGTAAGGAAAACAGGAGGGAAATGACAAGATTTACAAATTATAATTTCACACCAAAACTCAAAACCAAATTCTAACTGTACTGAATTCATTCTCCATTTTTTAAGAAAAATGGTAGCAATATAAATATTCTGATATCACCTCTAGACTATAAAACTATGAACAAATACACCCACCAAAACTGGCCACAGATTGGTACCTGTCCATATATACGACTGGGTTTCTTCCCCCGACAGCTGAGTAAAGCCCATCGCTTATACTTCACATTACAGACATGGACGTCATTGCCGTTGCTCTCACCAAATGGGATGCCTGTACCTCCAAACACTAACAGGTTGTTTCCATGCAGCACGACTGGGGAAGAAGAAGAACAAATTCCATTATGTACTGACTATCTATAATGTGTTCCCACACAAACCCAGAATATCTGAACAGCTCAAAAATGTCTGCTTCAATGATCTCAAAAAACAGCTCAAACCACTCACATCTAACTACAAATTCTGCAAAAAAAGGTGTAACACACACTGTATGGTCTATATCATATGATGCATTGTTAGGTATATGGTACTATCAATATGTATTTCTGGAATTCATTAAGTAGTATGTATAGCATGCCAAGTTCTATGACCTACAATATACAACTGCTGCTCAAGACAGTTCAAGTACACAGCAAAGCAGAGGAAAAAGAAATACCTATCTTTGCCTTGGTAAAGACCCTGCAAAACTCAGGATGAAGGGATTAAAGGATCATTCTGTGTTTGTCAGGGGAATGATCTCCATATTTTAAATTACAGTTTCTGTCATTTAAATCCTCCACTAGATAAAAAGAAACACACCAATATCCTTCAGGTAACTGGTGTTCTGTCTCTTCTGCTCCTGACACCACACACTGTACACACACACACAACTACATATTCCCCACCCCCCACACTCCCTCCTTTTATCTCTCCCTCCTTCCTCGTTCTCTCTCAAAATTGTGGCACTGTATTATTTCAGTAGGTTTTTTAAAAAGACAGTTCTTTAACTGATAAGAGTATAGTAGCCAACAGCCTGGGTTCTAAAGCCAGCAAGAGTTGTGTTTAAATTCCACTATGACCAAAGGAAATCTAGTTAACCTCTTAATTTAACCTTCACAACAACCCTATGAGGTGGGAACTATTGCTATCTCTTGTCTCCCTCTCCCTCAATGCTGGGGATAGAACACAGGGCCTTGAGCATGCTAGGCAAGCACTCTACCACTGAGCTATATCCCCAACTCTCTTTTCTCCAGGGTAGAAACAGAGGTAGAGAGTAGTTTAAATAATCTGCTAAGGGTTTCCTTTAAAAAAAAGTCTTCTCAAACTAGGATTCAATGCCAGACGTCTGGCTCTACATCCCCTTAAAGAGCCTCTCTAAAGCCTTGGGCTCTTCATTTGCACAATGGCAATCTTTGTAGTACCTGCATCACAGAGATGCTATAAGGATTAAATAAGCAACATGTGTGCAGTACTTCATGCACTAGCTACTCATTATCAGCACCATCACCCTATTTGTGAATCTCTGACTACATTTTTACCTAGCATATACATGATATTTTATATTATATGCTCTGAAATATTAATCCCATTTTATAGGTAGCAAGTTAAAGCAAAAACTGATCTGGCAAGCAAATGGTATACAGTTGGATTCAAACTCAGGACCTAAGTGATTCCCAAATCACCAAGTTATATTAATACCATACTATAAATTATTAACAAGGAACATGTGACATTGAATCTGGCCTCTCATAAAGTCAAAAGTCCAGAAGCACTTGCACTCACGTGACATAGATGCCAATTCCCGGGGCATATAGCCATCTGTGCCCATCTGGTGCCATACTCCTGTTGCAAAATGATACCGCCAGAGCTCCCTGAAGAGGGGATAATCTTCATTATCCGGCCCTCCCGATTCATCATAGTCTGGGTTATAACCTCCAAACACATAGAGATTGGTATTATCTGCCACACAACGATGTCCACTGCGTGCTGGGGGAGGTCTGTGGCCTAGAAAAGAAAAGGACAGTTTGCCACAAGTGGTCCACAGACTAACAGCACGAACAAAATTAGCTAACAGCCATTTGGATTTTAAAAGGGAATCAAGGATGACTGATAACACGAATGCACTGTTTATTTGTTTAGGTGTCTTACACAGCCTCATATACTACTTAAGATTTTTAAGGAGCTAGTCTCCACTTTTATTTCATAGGACTTTTAAATTTTAATGACTGGAAAAGGATTTTTTCCAAAGGGTGGCAACATAGCAATATAAACTCAAGAAAATGCCTGACAACTTGAGGAATTTTCAAGAAAAAGAAGAGGTTTAATAACCTAAAAGCTAACAGGACAAATTTTCTTATTTTTTTAGAGGAGAAAAAACATAGGCAAACTATATTAAGCTGTGAATATTAGAGAACTACATAATCACAAATGTGAATGAGTAATGTATGAATAAACACACACACACATAAAACCTACAATTTTTCCACAATGTGTAAGTATACAGTAAAAAAGAAAACTGTCTGCCAAAGGGTTAGAAAAATTTAGAATTTAAACACCATTCCAAATATTTAACAAAGGATATCCTTATATTTATCTCAATGAGCATCTATCACTTTATTAGATGCATTACTAAGAAAATCTATTATACTTCCAAGTTTTTTTAAGTTGGAGTTTTTTGTTTGCTTGTTTGCTCTTTTTCTGATGCTAGGGATTGAACCCGGGGCCTTACACATGCTAGAAGTTTAAAATTACATTAACTAGCTCACTATAAATTATTTCAAGGCTTTTTACAGTAAAAAATTTTTTATATTATTTCTATTATCTTTACAATTTTTGTACCAGTCTACACAAACCCTTGCATAGCTATAGAACTAAAGATGCATAACTATATAGGAATGGAATAGATGCTACTATATTTGTCTGTTACCCTAAAAGACTGATCTACTTTCCTATGTGGTAACAGATACTAGTATAATGTTAATATCTAGGTAGGACAATACTAGATATCTAACATACACATCTGCTTTACCAATGAACATTTATTATCAACCTAATAAGCCTTATATTTTTAAAAATAAAAATCCCACTTTCTGGAGTATGGTTTTAAACAAGATCTGAAATTATGCACATATCTAGAGCAACTAAAACCAACAATGACTCACTGAGTCATTCTGGTCCTATGTGTGAGTCTTTGATGGTTCCTTGCTACGTAAGGACTAAGTCCTGGGCCCATCATTTCAGAGTCCTTTCCCACTAACCTACCATCTCTCACACTCACTACTACTCATTAAGTCATCCTCTCTGCTTAATAAAGTCCAGAGGCCTTCCTTTACAACTCCTTCCTTGGCCTAGCCTACCTATCCTTCAGTCCCTAATGGTGGAAATGCCTCCAAATCTAGTCCATCCTCATTAAGAAGACCCTAGTCCATCAGGTTCAGTACTAGCCTACTCATGTATTAGGGTAGATGGATACAATTAATAACATGATTATACCATAACTATATCGTCAGGCAAACTATAATCAGTTGGAAAATTTAGTAGTGCACTTAAATGAAGAACTCAGTTTCTCTTTCAAGGTTTCTGGAAAAACAGTGATGTCAATGAATTGAACAAGAGCTCCCATAGCATCTAGGTTTGGATCCAAGTTCTTTCTAACTGCTACCTTGAGCAAGACACTGACATTCATAGTCTCAGCTTCCTCACTTATACATGGGATACTATTACTGTATCTCACACATATTACATTACGTTAAAATATGTTCACTGGTTTATATATGTACAATTCCAGAAGGCCATGAGCTATCTGAGGAAGAGGAATGTATCTGTATACATCTTTTTATAAGCAAGCTTAGAGCACACAGAAAACACTGAACAAAGCTGAGAGTGAACTAGTTAATACTCTACTCATTTTATTGGATTTTCTTCTTTAGATTATAAATGCCTCAATGTCAAAGATCTTGTATAAAAATTATCACCTAAAACACGTATGTTGTATCCACTTAAAAGAGTGGAGAAACATAACAGGTCTAAAAGCTTGTTGACTTTAACTTTAGGTCAAAGCAAACAGTAAACAGTGACAGGGATGATCAAAAGAGTCCAACTCTGTGGACTTTAGATTTAAGAGATAGATGATGGGAGTGTGGCAGAGTGTGTGCTCAGTATGTGTAAGGGCCCAAATTCAAACTCCAGCAAAGAGAGTGAGAACATAATCTAAGAGACAGGTATTGGATTATGCAATGACCCTTTCAAGACACAGATGCTTCTCAGAATAAGCAAAACAAGGGTGAGACAGGAGGTTCATGAGTCTGAGGCCAGCCTGGACTACATAGTGAGAACTACCTCAAAAGAGCTGGGCATGGTGGTCCACACCTGTAATCCTAGCTACTCCAGAGATGGAGAGTGGGCAAATAGGTAGCAAAACCCTATCTCAACGAATAAAAAGCTGGGCATAGTGACATGCATCTGTCATCTCAGTTAGTCAGGAAGTATAAATAGGAGGATAAATAAACTGAGACCCTTTAAGAAAATAACTAAAGTATGCTGATGGAGTGGCTCAAGTAGTAAGAGTGCCTGCCTAGCAAGCGTGAGGCCCTGAGTTCAAACCACAGTGCCACTGAAAAAAAGAAAATTACTAAAGTAAAAAGGACTGTTACATGGCTCAAGAGGTAGAGCCCTGAGTTCAACTCTAGTACTGCAAAAAAAAAAAAAGCAAGACAAATTAAAAAAAAAAAAAAAAGCCAGGTATGGTGGTGATATACACCTAACAACCCTAGTACTCAACAGGCAGAGGCAGGAGGATCAAGAGTTTAGGCCAACCTGGGCTACACATGAAACAACCCTGCCTCAAAAGCAAAAGCAAAAACAAAAGAGTTGCTATGGTCAACAGACAGGAACCTAAGAATCTCTACAAAGTTATTTCTTGTATTACCTGGAGCCAACAGATAATTTTTAAAACTGCTTTTCAGCAAGTATGAGAAGAAATACAGTATATTTTAAGATTTTCTCTAAACAGCCACACAGTAGAGAACGTAAGTTTACTGTCAACTATTTTTGTGACAAATGTAACTCACTCACATGCTGAAGAGTCAATGAAAATATGATTTTATATAAAATTTGTCTGCCTGTTCACCAATTAGGTCAAAATAATACTGGATGCCACCTATGTACTATATGACTGCCTCAGGTGCTGGAGCTTACTCTACCTTGTTCTGGCTGGTGCAGCAGCCACTAGCCACATACGGTAATTGGATACTTGAAATGTGGCTACTCCAAACTGAGATGTGTCCTAAATGTAAAATGCCCACTGAATTTCAAAGACTTAGTAACCCAAAAGGAGTGTAAAATTGCTGGTTTTTATGTTGATTACCTGTTGAAATGACATTTTTAATATGCTGGGTTAAATTAAAAAAACTTAAATTAACATTTGTCTTTTTTACTTTTTTAACGTGGCTACTATAAAACTTTGTGCTTCACATAATAATTAGTAGTAGGCTAACCTAACTGCTGGCTTCTGTTAACAATTTCATGATGTATGCAAATTAAACTATTGAGCAAAGGGCATCTGATTAGTGTCTGATAAATATTAAACATCTTGTCAAGGAGTCTTACAGTTGGGAATATAGCAGTAACTCACTCCTTTTTCTCTCCAAGAAGAACTACAGATTTCTTTCTCATATTTATAGCTCAAGAGTGACTAACATATTGGAGGCCCATTTCATTTTGAATAAATCATGGGAATTTGTCAGGGCAGATGCCATGGAAACTAAGCACTAATTTTCATTATATGGAATAAAACATAGGCTCCTCAGCCTTGACAAAATGAAATTGGGTTTTAGTCTAAAGATGCTCTCTGAATCTTCCCCCAAATTCTCCATGTGCAAATTTCTTTTCTAAAACTTACTTACTACTAATAAAATTGCCCACAGAACTACGTTACCTGGTTCTGGAATTCCCGCTGGAAAACAGAGAAGTGAAAAATGAAAACTGAACCTGTATGCAGATGTAAACACTTTAATATCTAGAAGAGACCATATGGCTTTGACACTGTATACCTGTGGTTATCTGAGCCATCTTCTCTTTCATGTCACAAGCATGAAAGAGAAGATCCTACTTGACCCCAGGGGTAAGTAGGAGCTTATGGTAACCAAGGAAATAGATCTTAATTTCCAGCCCAAAGGCAGAAAGAAGCTAGGTATACGAGATAATGTGTCAGATGATTAGATTGTCCCCAATGTTTTCATAATTACAAATGACATGATAAAAGTTTCTTCCCCATTTTCATATGCAATTGTATGAGTATGTCTAGAAGCAGAATTTCTGGGTCAAAAGAATGTGTATTTTAAATGGTTACAGATACAATATTGTTAAAGAGTCAAGTGCACTCTAAAGAGTCTAGATGAATTTCTACTCCTAGTCATGTGTATAGAAATTCCTGTTTCTTTTAACTTCCTCCTATCCTTCCCTCCCTTTCTTTCCTTTCCCAGATGTACATGGAAGTATCTTTTCTTTCTTCCTTTCTTTCCCTTCTTTCCTTCTGCTTTTATTTAGATATTTATTTTTATTTTGAGATAGGATCTCAACGTGTAGTTCAAGCTGACCTTGAACTCAAATCCTCCTGCCTCAGCCTCCCAAGGATTGGAATCTCAGTCAGGCCTGTGCCACCATACCTGGCTGAAGTGCCTTTTCTTCATGCTCTCTTTAACTTTTTCAGTTGTGTTAAAGTGATGGGTACAAAGTGGTGCCAGGTTAATTTGCACTTCCCTGACTGTACTAGTTCTCATGTCTACTGGCCCGTCTTGAGTTGTTTGGTCATATACTTTGCTCACTTTTTCTATTAGGTTATCTTCTCACAGACTTGAAATGATTTATTTACTATGTTTTTTCTTCCAGCCTGCTTCTTGCTGTTTAATTTTGTCTATGGTATCTTTTAACCGAGGCTTTTATGCAATTGAATAATTTTTTTCTTTTCTAGCTCTTTTGATTAATATTCATCGCTATATCATTAT